TCTGCTTTCCTGCTACCGTGGACGGACTAAAGTCCACTATATGCCCTGATGATAGGGAATGTAGTTTGGTTGGAACGTCCGTCTATTACGTTGTGTCTAGAACTATTAAAATGCCTATTTGTTGAGGAAGAAAACACCATTTTCTCAGGCATGCTTTAAATGCACAAAGACAACTCATTTCTAACCCGCCATTGCCTCCTAAGATAACGATTCAGAGGCTGATCACAGGCCTTTATGACATCCAGAGCAGTTAGAGAGAATTGATGAAAATGTTCGTTACTCTTCTACACAATTTACTTATTTGGGGTTTCTTTACAAGGTGCAATACTGGATTCAAGGAGAGCACATAATCAATACTAGGAATCTACTTCATTTATTTATTCTTCATTTTTTTCACTTCATATTCTTTAACCCGCAACCCATTCATCATTCGGGAAACGTTCTTAGAAGGGGTTCAGAATTTAACAGGTTTGAACCAACGTTCGAAAAGGCGCTACATTTGCATATTCTTTAGCCGGTACTTTGTTCGTTGACCGCTTGACGGTTCGCAACAGACCTTCAAGCCTTCCGTAGCTGGTAGCTTCTTCACATAATTTTCTGATTCTAAATCTACCTTTTAGTTTAAGTCGTATTTTCCATAACCGGAAATTTAAAGGTACGGCTGACGCCATTTTCTGGAAAGCAGCAAGCTGTACTTTATGACCGTTTCGTATACCTGTTTCTAGCTGTCAGTGAGATCATAAAGCAGGTCACAGCTGCACAGAATCTGAGAACTTGCAGTATGCTGACACAATACTGAATCACTGGGTTGAAACGAATAACTTCCACGCAATGTCACTGACAAAAATTTCCGTTTTTATTTGTTATTCACGTTTTACACCTTGTGATAATTTTTAGTATAAAGCAAGAAGAGACGAACTGCATGGACCAGACAGAATGGTCGTGTGACTCGCACGGTCTGACATGACGACCATACGAAAGCACTGTGATCATCTTATTTCTATTTGTTAATTAATGACCCACTGTACGTTTTCACCTGGTATCACCGACGTACAACGAAATCAATTTTTTGTGCAAGGCAATTAGCAGAAAATAAGGGAAAATATACATCTTGAACTTGAACCCGGTGCCGCCTACAAAGTGTAAAGTCGACCATCCCAATTCTTGCTTCCATTCTTGCCGATGACATTGAAAACTGCTATTTTTGGTAGTTCTCGAAGAACATCAATGTTATCGACAGTCTGTATGTATATTTACAGACAAGCATTTCAGTTTGTAATAGAACCCCCTCCGGTATTCGACAAAACTGAAACACGTGACATCGCATCTATACTATGCAGGTTCAAATTACATGGAAAAGTGTAAATCATCTGTTTAAACGGTTCCCCTAGCCACGAAGAAGCAAGGGGACGGTTCGCCTATTCCATCAAAATCCGGTAAAATTATGTGACACGAACATTTGTGTCAGCTAGAGATATAGATATCAAAAACAGCCCTTGCTCCTATCCCGGTGTAAGAGACTCAACAGGGTGCTTTTTGACTGTCTCTGACATCGTTTTGCATAACAGAGCCTGCTATGAATTTCCAAGAAACAGCGGATGCTTTCAGGGCTGTTTTCATGTAGCTGTTATTCGATCAGTAACCTATCGTAAACGCTGAATAACACAGGAATTAAAAGAATTGTGAGTACAATACCCATAAATCATTTTCAACGTTCTACTACGATTCATTCATTAAGTGCTAATATTACTTATTACTATAACGGTATACGCTTCATAAGTATCTGTCTGCACACAGGATTTCAAATCAGTACGTCAGAGATCCGCTAAATAACAGCACCCTATGAAGCATGTACAATTTGGTCTCCAGCTAAAATGTTAAACATATTTTTAACGAGCACATTTCTCACATTTTACATATCCAACGCCACATGTGACAGTTAGGACTAGTACTTCACCGTCATCAAGTAGGCGCGTGGTCGACGGGGACCGCGGCGCCAATCAGCTCCCTAAACGTTATACTCCTACTTGTAGCATGACATGTTGCTACGTACGAAAAATCATCAAAGTAGGAGAAAGCTTGACAAGATGAAGTACGACGGCAAGACTTGTTCCCCTCCATCCAAAACGGCAGCCATAAAGACCTGTCATTAATTCATTAACTGTAGTAAAAAGAATCTCCAGTAGGGCTAATAGGGTAGTCTCTAACTGGGCATTACCAACTAGTATTACGGAATTAGCTGCCAGTGCACTGTCCGGCAGGAAAACGTGTCTGTTCAGTGAAAGCCACCGCAATGAGTAGAACCAAATAACTGTTCTGTCGCACTCCACGCATCCACTCTCCCGGGAGATCGAATATAAGTAGAACCCATCTGAATTAAGCCAAAAAAAGAACTGATATCAGTCAAGATTTCTTTTTCCAAAAATAAGCAAATGGGTAACTAGAAGTGAATTACAATGTGTAAAGAAATGAGAACATAGCAGAAATAGTCTGGACACAGAAAAACTTGCATAAACCATACCGTCTGCTCAGACATATGAGAGTGAATGAGAGAAAGTCAAAGACAGACCCGGAACCCGACTGACCAAACCAAAACGAATACCTGGAACACAGCCCAAAGCATAGATTAGATCAGGATGAGTTTTTCATTAGAGAAAAATTGTGACCATTGAACGAACCTTCCTAAGCTATTGTCTTCAATGATGGGGCAAACATTTGGCTCACCTGGGGCCGAATGGTAAAAATCTTTTAATACAAGGCTTCATATAGGACTTAAAACGAAATAGTGCTTTCTCGTTCTCCTCCCCCAGATCTCATCAGATAAACGGATAAGCAAAGGAGCAGGTGGAGAACATGAATCACCTCACGGTCTTGTTTACGCTAACGAAAACGGAAGGAAGAGATCGATCAGCGGAGTGGAGTAGCCAGTGGCGTTCTGCGTAAGATAACCCGATCCACTGTGATTAAAACAAAGGTCAGTCTAAAAACTGAGCTCTCGGTATCCAAGTCGATCTTTATCCCATGCTTACGTATGGTCATGCGATGAGGACCGTGACTGAAAAAATTTTGATCCCGGGTACAAGCGGCTGGAATGGGCTTTTTGAAACCAGTCGCTGGCCTTACACGTCTCGACATGATCCGGAATACAAAAATCCTGGAGACCCTTGTTGTAGAGCAGCTGCCTCTTCAGATGAAGTCACCGCTGCGCTGGCTTGGGCATGTTTTGCGAATGCCTGCAGAACGGAAGGCGAATCATCTATTTCGTGCCGGCAGAAGACTCAGGGGGCGGCCAAGATTAATCTACGACAAGTGTATTAATTGACTCTATTTTAGACTTCCGCTATCTTATGCCAAAGCTCAAATGCTGGCCAGGATCTGTAACGTTGGAAGTAATGTCTCACGCGTCTGTCTCCGCGACAAGAAAGGGAAGATGTCTCCGAAACTGAACAGAAATTCATATGGGCATAATATCTGCTAAGTATGTTTTCTTCAG